TAACCGCACGAAACTGACGACTTTGCACGTGTTTTTTTGGGCTTGCCCTTAACTTATTGTCGAATCAGAAGAGGCGTCCTATGATCGCTGCTATCTGCTGTGCCAGCGCTTCCGTTCGGTCTAAAGCTTACGAACTAAAAAACCGTCATCTCCCATAGTGAACCATCCGATCTGGCAGCACTACAGGATTCACAAGCAAAGGACATGCATTATAGGTGGAGACGCTTTAATGGAATTGATATAAGTAAATATGTATAGAAGTGAACATACCCTTTTACGGAGGGACACCTTCGCGAGGCTTTGTTGTAGAGAAGTGAACGAGGTTTTTGGCCTTCTCCACAAAATTGAACGTCATTTATAATATATCATAGTATAATGCTAAACCGAATTTTTATCGAAGAAGCATTACATTTCTCTTAACTGATTACAAACCTACATGAAATTAACAATCGTTGTTTCAGGTTAAATCAGTGAATCTGAAAAAGCTTTAGCTGAAGATTTCACTGTTTGTTAATTACATATATATATATATATATATATATACTCTCAAAACCGTAAGGGAACAACGAATCGTTAGCCGAATGTATTTGACACCCCAGTGTTCTTTTAATTTTCTTATATGATTTAGTAGTCCAAATGGCACATAAAAAAAAAAAAAAAAGGGTTCCCTCATTGATACTTTCAGCCGAAGTTTTGGCAACTCGGACCTGCCGAGCCTACTTTAATTCTTACGAGACTAGTTAAAACTATGAGCTTTAATAGCATACGAACACTCGTTTATTCCTTGTACCTTGCCCGCTATTCCTGCCCTCCTAGTGTCTGTTCCGTTCCGCTGCTGAGGAGGTCGATTTTGTGCAATACGGAGTCGTGGTTAAAAGTTGCCCCCGTTGAACTATGAACACCGGACGCCAACTTAGGTAATATTATTATCAAGCTTCACCTTTTCAATTAGATTTATAATGTGACCTAGTCCAGAACACTGTTTAGTGTTTGTTCAAAACATCACGAGGGGTTTCCATATGTGGGATTATTTTCATAATGGTATTCAGCCATCGGTGGTGTCTAAGCACTGCCAGTTCATAGTAAAATGAACTGAATTTTGATTGACTTGATCATATTAGCTCGGTGTGGCAATGAGAATTGTTTTGCGGGAGTTTTACAGGTTCTTCAACTACTACCTGGGAGTTTATGAGTCCAGCTTGGTTTAATAATTGAGTTAGAGGATCCTTTATTGGAGACATAAGTAGGCTGAAAACAATTTTATTGACTCCTGATATGCAGCGCTTAAATCAGTGTTGTGTAAGACAAAAAGAATGAAGTTAATTCATCCTTTCAGGAGATCCGCTTTGCAAAAATAATCTATGGCCGAGTATGCTTCAACGAAGCTGCGTAATAGCAAGCTGAAATATGCTGGGAGGAAATTCTAATGATGAAAACACATAAATGCTGCCGGCCTTAAATGCTCATTCGTGGGTAAGGTTTCACCAAAATGGCAAAGGATAATTTTTACTGCTCGGATATTGATTGTCTTTCGGTCACCAGATAAAACGAAACTAGTTTGAAAGGCTCTAATTGCGGCATATTGAAGCGCCGCCAGAAACTACACTTGCCTATTTAGAGAATATACCTTGTAAAGGACACAAATAATATATTCATACGAATAAAATACAAAGATATAAAGACAAGGACGTCGTCCTGTGGAGAACTCCACTTCGATAAACCCCAAGGTTAATGCATAGGGCAAATCTCTAGCGTCTGGAGGAAGTCTGTACCAAACGGGTCTAGGATGCAGAGATTTAATTTGCGATTAATTGAGTTCGTTAGAAAATACTAGAGATATAAATAGGTTGTGTCTTGTTTACACTTAATTCATAGCTGCGGTTGTTTGCTTGCTTAGCCGTTCACGAAGGATAATTCACAGTCAGTTTTCTAAAAAAAAAAAAATACTTCTAGGTCGGCATAAATACCTAAAATGTCCTCGACTTGCCTAATAGATATTTCCTAATCAAGTTATACCAAGGGTGACTCTGGAAACATTTGATTAGTGGCCTCACCTGGGGTGCATATACAACTCTTCGGTAACTCGATTTTAAATATCACTCACATGAAAACTGTGTTCAACAAACATGCAGGCTCAAAGGCAACCTGCAATTGCAGAATAGCATCCAGTTAGGAGAGCAATGCAATCATCAATGAGTGTAAAAACAATGATTCCATATTTAGACATTGGGCAGTTCTATTGACGCATTGATTACTTCCCATTGACAACGCCTGCACCACTATGTGATAAACCTTGGGGCTACAAAAAAAACCAAAATCACCTCTGAGCTCATCGTAGTTTGCTGAAGTCGAAACTTCTATGAGCTTGGATCGTTTCCATTGGACCGCACATAATAAACCGTATTTATATGGTCCATCAACCGTAAAGCTTAACATAGTTGCTTTCGACAGCTCAGCTTACCCTTCGATTTGCAATGACACTTTAGGTGGCAAATCTTGTGGATTTAATTAAATTTTCTATACTTTTTTTGAAAGTATATTTTTACACACCTATACCCAAGTGATTGTGCCGAACATAATGTCCGTTTGCGTAGTATCTGGTTGTCAAAACGAAATTTTTAGGCCAAAACGAAAACAAGTACTTTTTAATTTTAAAATATTATTAGAAGACCATTATGATCGACGAACTTTTGCTATTCTTTTAGTGACGCCATAATCCCGTCACTGCGGGGCGATTTTTGCATCCCTCTACTAAAACTTCGCGGTATTACGAAAATTCTGCAGGGAGCTAAGTAGATAATAGTTTGATAGTGCAAGATCTAAGCTATACCGCAGATGCTACTTATTTCACTAAACACCATGTGTCGTCTTCGTTGTCAAAATGGGGTCACAAAACCTTTCCTAGCTTTTCGTACATCACTGTCGTATGCACTTCTACCATGATCCACCGCTTTAGATGTAACTCGGTTTCGCTGCGTTCCCGTAGAGGATCGCGGTTGGAGATACTATGAAGTGAGGTTCCCTGTGTCAACTCAGGTGGCACCCAAACGTCGTGCTCTTTATTGAGGTCGGGTGACTTCAGACGGTTTAAAACTGTTTGGTGGTGGATGCAGAATTATCACAGCCACTTACATGACATTCTTCCTCCATCTTTGCGCAATAATTTTATCAGCCTTTTTTGTGATTAATCGGCGGCCCCGAGGATCCCTTCTTGAAAACAACAGGGCTTTTAACAGCACATATTTTTATTAAACGTAAGTTAGGTAAAGTTTTGAAATATAGTAAATCTTCCCGGAAATTCCACTCACCTTGAAGGTATTTTATCTGAAGTTTAAATTAACAATATTTTAATAATAACAACTTTAGCACATTTACTACTTCGTTTCCAGGTGACATCGGTCCAATTTGACCTCCGTATATACATATGTACACATACGTGACCCATCTAGCTGGAAATTAATGATTCGACAACTCAGTATTATGCATGCTCCGTTAGCCTAGCGCTTGAAATAATAGCGCTTAACTGAACATATATTTACTATTGTTCAGTTTGCAAAAAGACCTGTAAAGGTCTCAACTGATTTGAAGTCCAACAAAACTTTGAAGCAACGAAGCCTACTAAATAACATTAGTTCTCGAACAAACACGTTGAGCGAATCTAGGTTTGATGGAGAGATTACTCACTGAGCGAGTGCCAGAGAAGTTCATATATTAATGTTATCCTTTTCATTGACATATAGGGTTGCACATATATATTACGGAAATAAGTAGACTTGTCAGTTAAATGCTCTGCATGGAACGCGACTCTGTTACAGAACTAGGAGGTTCCGACCCAGTATACACTATGTTAGGTACCGCCGTTATGCATTCCGTCGGATGACTGGCTTCCAGGATGAAACAGAGTGTGTCTATGCTCGGATTCGAACCTGAACCATAACGTGCTCCTAAGACTGCCAGGCAATACATATGTTCATCTAGCTCGACTTTCAACAATTACCTAAATGACAACATATAAACAAATCAGCGCAGTGAACTATGGAAAGTTGTTATACCGTTTTTGTCACGCATTTTTTTATACAATCATGTCTGGGTTGTTGCGTACTGTGTACCCGTCACATACTATTTGCCGAAATATCAATCGACACGTTAAGTATATTTATTAATATAGATGACCACCGGAAGAAATGATTATACAATTGGAGCAAAAATATTCTTTCGTTAAACCACGTACCGAACTCTGGAGTACTAACCCAGGCGATCGAAACGACACTGCTATTGACGAGTGCCCAAATACGAAAGCGCAAGTTCACTTCAAGCTATATACAACGGTGCTATCACCCAATTTTCTATCTCCAAATAACGTTCTTCGTAAGTTCATATGATATTTACGGTAATCTGCACATATTCTATCGGGTATTGTACATTTTTATATTACATATTGGCCAACTTATGAAAATAACTGCAGATACAATAAACCCATAATAATCTCAGCTCCGTAAAAAAAAATGTTTGTTAGTTTATCAAACATACTTAATCTACATATTGCAGAACGTATGAAAAAGAGAACACTACATTCAGAGCAGATTCGTGTATTTTTTTGGAAGTTGGTAGATTAAATTAAAGTGACTCAGGCTGTAAAAAATTTGTTCATTACTTACCGACTAGAAGAGACATATCGGGGTCGGACTTTGGTTCGGAGGATTGCGAATATAATATAATATGACGCTCGTTTTCAAGCGGTTTCTTAATATTTACTGATAATTTCGATAAAAGTGACTTTTTTTTTGTTGATCTGTCTATAGAAGATGATAGTGCCATTGCAAATGTGTAGCTCGTTGAATTCACAATTAAGTGAACGGCTCGCGCTAGTTCGTATCAGCAACGTATAAAAATCGTATCTGCTTTGTCGTCTGAATTTGTTAGTTGTCTCAATTATTCTTGCAATCAACCCTTCGACATCTTAGATAAAGACTTACGCCCAAGGCGCAACGATCACTCACCAAAATTGCGAATTTCACGACCACTATTTCGATCTTTTACGGAGTCGAACGTCATTTTTTCTGAACAGTTATTGTTAGTGCTGTTACCGGTTGCGATGGACACCGCTAAGCTTCGGGTAGACGCTTCACAAGACTCGCTTTTGACGAGACTGACAGTGCTCAACGAAGGTCTATCAACTTCGTCTATTGATAGGGAGGGCAAAACCTGCACAGGCCTCATCTACTCGAACAGGCCCTCACATATGATATCTGTTTGAATCCACCTTCGAGCTTTTTGTACGTAGGCCAATGCTTTTTTTCTGGTTGGGTCAATAACCCGGGTTCTCTAATTCTGTTTTCGAACTATTCACCACAAAATGACGTGTGGAACGAAATTTGTGGTATACAGGTCAGGATAACGGAGCTTTTGAAAAACTACACAGTTAGAGTGCTATGTTACTATGTGAAAAGCAAACTCTTATGTTTTGTTTCGTGTTGACACAATGGTCATGAACGCGCTTGTTAAGCGCTGACTTTTAATATTGGCTTTACTTTGGTGCTCCGATTCTTAAATGCGCTGGCGTGCATCAGTCGGCATAATGACAACTCCATGCGTGAACATATTTGCTTGGTACGTCCTCATAGGTAGAAACATGGCTATAACAAGATACCCTCTCCCGCTTGTGTTATCGAGCCTTTGAATTTACGTCAGACCATCGACCGGCACCCGAACGTCTTGTAGTGAACACAGCCGAATATGAGATATCATATACGCCAACAAACTATAGCACAGAAACGGGGGTTTTTGTGCCAATAACCCCGCTATAGCCCCCGTACCGACGTTCACGCTCCTGCCCCAATCAAGCTAGGCTCCCTTCGCTCACGACGAATACTTGTTGCACCGTTCAAGAGATAATTGAGGCTAATGCGTTATTAGAAGAATCTAGTTATCCGTTTGGCTTGTAAACGATCAACAAACCCTGATTGAAGCCCACTGCGCCTAGGTGGAGTTAAAAACGACTGAAGTGTCGTGGAGAAGCCAAACAAGCTAAAAAGGTAAGAAAGCGCAATTTTTTTATCTCGGCTATTTAGTGGCTATCTTTGACGTTCCTAAAACACTTAGTTCTTAAGACAATACGCATGTTCTCAAAATGGTTTCACTCGCCAACAATACTGTCAGCTAGCTAGATATAGTGGGCAGAAAAAGTGGACATACATACACGAACGACTGTACAGTAAGTAACTTGTTTTAGCGGTCGAATATGATGATATTGGCAGCGACCTTCAACGTACCTCAAAAATTATCGCTTCAGGCCCTTCAAATATAAAACGATCGATTGGCGTTTCGGGGCTCGTCGAGGTAGCCCATTTTACTACCACGGCTGTTCGCTTCGTTATTATAATATAGATATAGATAATCCCTTGTTGGCTTATTTATTTATATTACCCTGTTACTTTTACCGTCATCCAAATCAAACTTCAGAAGTGTTTTTTTTTTTTAGAGAAAAAGGCTTTTATAATTTTAGTTCGTTTCCTTACCTGTGTCACTTAAATAATCCAATCTTGACTCACCGATTTGCGAAGAAAATAAAATACTTCACGTTTAATATATATATATATATATATATATATATATATATATATATATATATATATATACAGTAGCTTTAATAGAAGCAGAGGTGGAATAGATTTCAATAGAACTGCCAATCAGGATTAAGAAAAAATTAGAGGTACCTTGTTCATGAGTTAAGGCACCAGTTACAAGCTGTTCGCCACACACTACTTACTTATTACAGATCCATATGTCTTTAATTAAAAAAGAAACAGCACTTTGCATGGCTAATAAACTTCGATTCACAACTTTATTCTATTGGCTTTTTGTTTCGTCCCTAAAATTGCGTAATAGTAAAAGACTATGCGTTAAGAAAATGGGTTAAAATTTCCCTGCCCGGAAAATTTTTGTTATTCATTATAATGACAAATTTAAAAAGGGGTAATGTTTTTATTATTTACGATACTGAATCAAGTAAGAATCGAGGAAAGGTCAATCCGAAAATTACAATTAATGATGTTACTAGGTACTATTTATTATTACTATAAATTTTCACTACATTACTTTATATGCCTTGGTGATTATTTCTATTTTATTAAAATAAGTAGTTTCATTATTATTAGAACTGGAATGGTCTTGTCTAATAAACTTTGGCTGGCAAATGTTCGGATCAAAATATTTGCTACATTGAAGCAGAATATATATGCATGAAGATGCATAGACAGATTGACAATCGATCCCAAACTGTGATACTATAATAGCTGGATAAAAATCTTCACATAATATATATATATATATATAGGTTTTTGATAAAATCAAAGCTTTTTCTATCAAAATTGCACAAGCGTAGCAACTTTCGAACTTCGCATTCGTCGGCAGTCGAACAATACCAATGTACATCGTCTACTGCGTTTTATTCCTAAACGTAAAAAACACATTTTTTGTAAATGGCATTCCAGATATCATACCATGATTTCTACTAGGTTATAAAACTCTTCCTGCATTTCTGAGACGGAGACTATATCATTTCGCGTTCAGCTATGCAGCAGCAAATTACATAGAAAAAAAACATCAGTCGTGACAACTGGAAACAATTACTTTGGGCTGTTCGCCGATTATAAAAGAACGTATTTAAATCTCGTTAATATTCATATTAATATCAATACTAATATATACGTGTACATATCTATCTAGATATAAATACTGCGATCTGAATACATGCAGCATCGGATATTCCTCGCCATTGGCACAAGGACCAAATTGCGAGAAACAACAGGGCCTTATAACAAAGCCGTAAAGCGCTTGAGCGCCATTTGTGGAACATTTACACACAAAATTTAGACATGGGTAACGTAGGAACGAGGAACAGCACAACATTACACCATGGATAGAATAGTCGCCATCCTTCTATCGCCCTAGCAGGAAGCAGCGAAAAATTGGAAAAGTCTTGTTAAATATCGACACAACGTAGTTTTCTCGCGGCCACGTTGGACACGAAATCTTCAGAAGTTTCTCCATGTGAAGAGCCTTTTATTGCTCCATATTTGCTAGAGGACGCCCCGGATGCACTCGCTATCTCTGACAGGCTTTCCCTGGATCCTTGCAGAGAATTGCATATAGCCAGTTTTGAGCACCAGGAATGTTTCCTTTCCTGAAAGGCAGGGCAGGATTTTTAATTAAAGTTCAGGAACAACTATCACCTATTGCAAATGCTAGCTATCGCGCGACTGCCATCAGCCCTCGTGGCAGCTTAATGGGTAACATATTTGCCTGCAAAGGTTAGGCACGCATGGTGACATAGGTTCGAATCCGGGCAGGCAGGCAGGCACAGTTACCACTGAATACCTAGCGGCGCTGGCGGACGTAAACAATACATTTGAAGTACACAAAGAGTGAATGCTGAAAAAAAGCATGGCATTTTTGAGCCAGCACCTGTTTTTACTACATTTCTCAAGTATGTATTTCAGAAATCGTCCGTTTAAGATCGTTTGAAACAAAAGAGTTAGTAGCCTGCAAATATCTCATCCTAACTGTGAGTGAAGACATTCCAAGACTGTTATGGTACTTATCAACAGCTAATTTTGTTCCATTTGACATTATTTCCCCAACTTTCGGATGCAAAGATGGCCACATATTTAATATAACAAACGGCAATCTGTTATACGGGATTCCGTTAAAAGTTATATGAGTTAAATTTATCACTAACCATTATGGTTTTTAGGTGTCTCGACCAAAGATGATATACCGGTAGTACTTACCAGTTGCGCTTGAAAGCTCTGCTCCTCTTCTGCCCGGTTAGCTAATTCTATGAGGATGTGCATTTCTAACATGAAGAGATGCTCATCATCAATACCGAAAACTTCCTCCCGCATAAAGTCGGCTATATTTAATACATACTCCACATTTGGACCGCACTCGCCCTAAGGAAGGACCAGATATTGTAAAACAATGTACAATTAGCTGAAACTCGACATAATTTGCTTTATTTACATAACTTGTTTAGCACTTGTTTGTCATGGACGAGATACGAAGCACTGATATTTTTCAGCCAGAAGCTCAGGCGTCCCAACCATCCCGTTAACCCACGTCAATGTAATATTAGTAGTTTTCTCTGTTGTAATTGAAACTATGCCACAATGATCATTTTTACGCCATAAACGTTACAGTCTTATAAAATCCATGTGATTTTCCATAGAAGGTTATATGGATTTTTTTAATTTACTTCGACAGTTTAATGTCACCAAGACTATCGGCTTAATTCAACTATGTGCAGTATCAAATTATTAAACCAAAAAGGAAATACATGAAAGGCTAGCCTCTCGGCTGATGTCCCTTCTGCTACAGGCTTCAAGCTGATGTTTAATTTTTTGTTTCGAGAACCTGCCAGAATAGCGGAGGGCTCAGTACAAGTTCCTTAGATAGAAAGCAGTAGAAGGAAATATAAATAGACTCATCATCGTCTTTTCAATTACTCTAGGTTTTTCTGGAGAATCAAAATGCGCCTACACCGAGGTTCAAACCTAAAGCGCCTTGGTGTTACCACTAAGCCATCACGAGGACAATCTTGATCCTACCAACGTTCAAATGGAACTATGCTGAAGGCTAAATACACATATCGTTCTGTTGTTTGAAGAAAAGTTTACTTGACTTTGAACAATTTCTCGCGCCATTTCCGGGTAGGACTTTGGGCCGAGGTAAAGAGGATTAGAAGGCAACGCGACGTAGACACGAGCTGTGAACGGGGCCTGATGCAATGCCCTGGAATGCGCAGTTTCAACAGGAACAATGAATAAAAACGTACTGATAAGTAGTAGGATATATTGAAGTGTCAAAAGATGGGAAAGCATTGGTAATTTGAGCATATGTTTCAAAGTTACAGATATTAAATGTTACAAGTTTCATGAATATTAAATAATTTACATAACATGTTATTTGACTTAATAAACGAAGAGAAAATTTGCGTGGAAAAAAATTAAATTTTTAGATTTGCTTAGGCCTAGACCTTTTTTTTTCTCTTTACCAAATGTATAGGGCAAAAAATGCAATCAGTTCTATGTTGATTTCATCTTGACAGTAAATATATAACACTGCTAACAGGTAAATACAAAATATTCGTTAATCTGATTACAGTAAGATATTTGCTGGAAATAGATAGAAGAACTTTTTAGCAGATGTCATCGTAGGAATAGAACAAATATCATCTTAACTTTTGACTCGATCCTTTAATCTCTGTCCAAAAAAAAAAGCTAGTAAAAAATTTATTACACTACATAAACTGCTGAAAAGCTGTTAGCGAATCAAAGCTCAATACATCTGATGTTACACAGTTGTTTATACTACCTGGGATAAAACGCCGTTGTCAAGGTAACGTAACCACCTTCCTTTGACTCCCGGGTATCAAGGTAAGCAAGCGGGCAGTTTCCTGGACGCGACCTGTCACTATTCAACTGCACAAGAAACGCCCGGCCCCAAACTACAGACTGCAATAAATCATTATGCACGCATATACGGTTAGATATCAATAAAATTCACTGTTTCAGGTACATTGAGCAACATGTTTATACATTTCTACTATTAGATATGATTGTATCTAAGTTGCTGCAATGCAGTAGATGTTATAGATACTCTATGAAATTTTAGTATGTATACTTACGTATTCGTTCTTTAACATAGTGGCGACGCGGCCAAGCTGTAATGAGTAAAATTGTGTTATCGCGATATGTAAGATAGGGCCAGCTAAACCGCTGATATGACGTCTTCTCTGTAACAAAATGAAGCTCCATGCCAAATTACTAGTGAATTAGTAGTAAAACAATGTAGTAGTGAATTTTTTATAATAAAGAAATTTTAAAAAATCTAAATTTTGAGTATTCAACATATATTAGGATAACAGCCAATACTCTGAGCACTTAGATAATTATGTAACCATTTGTCATTCGTGAAGTGAAGAACCTTCATGCGCATACTTTTAGGTATTAGATCTAAAATCAACGTGATGAGCATATCGTAAGATGGTATGCTTGTTTTGTACACAGATTTTTCATTGATTTTTACGTGAGAAGCATTCCGTTCAATGAAATCAATACAAGTCGCTATTGATTTCATAATCATCACAAAACTAACCCACCGTAATACAGTGTAGCCGTATTGGCTTACTTCATGAGTTAAACGTCTTGATTTGCATCTACCTAGTCGAACCTATTTTTGCTTAGGGTGAATTGTCGAGAGTGAAAAACATATTATTTATGCCAACTTACCCTTTGTGGCGATCCTCGGTGCTTGTCGTTTCCTTGGTAGAAGACGCGCTCAAATCCCTTAACATATCCTACCATCGAAGTTTCGTAATCAAAGCCCGGACGCCATATTAAGCTTCCATAACCGAAGACCCAAACGCTATTCATTTTCAGCTTATGACTGACCTATTTTAAGCTAGGTGGTTGGAAACAACTGTTGCAAAAGTAACGGGCGAAGTACAAAGTGATGTGTATACAACGAATTAATATACTGAGCTATCGCGAATTTTATTAGAAAATGAAAAAAAAATTGCACCCGACGACGAAGTGCTTGTGGCTATTACTTTGACCGGCTCTATAAACAAAAAGCGCTTGAGATATATGCATCAATGTATGTATGGCCATGAATTTTCGTAATGAGAAACGAGCACTGACTTAGGCGGGATTATTAGATACCACGTTTTGATTCGTTTCTCGTGTTAGTGCCTTCACACGCACCGACGATAGCAACTGCTGAACGTGAATAGTCTGCGTTTCCCGACGTGACAGGTGAACTTCGCTGATGCAATTCGGAGTGCGAGACTCAGACAAATTAACACGATCGTTTTGCTACGATCGTGTTAATTTGTCTAACGATCTGTCTGATTTGAAAAAATGAACACGAGGCGAACTCAGCATGCGTCTACTTGCAAGAGAGAAACGGACTTTGGTTACAAAAAGTTCCCCACCGGTTCAAGTTATTACATCAGAAGAGAAAAACCTGCTATCTAAGAATCAGAGGCTGAATTGAAAAGTTACGAAACGTGGCGTAAAGCATTCGATAAAATTCAGATATAAGTAGACACACGCACCCACGGTGAGCAATTGACCCAGATGACCAATGACCGACACAATAACGGAAACATCAGTACCAAATTATTGCTTAATTTTTTTCTTGCATTCTTTATCATAAATATAGTTTCGATGAAAGAATAACCTGATCAGCAGAGAGACAGTGCACTCAAGTGATTCGTTTAGTGGTGATAGTATAAAGGTGGCCAGCTATTCTTTCTATTTACAAACACTTGTCGAACAAATTGAATCGAAATGCTACATTTGATATCGACTCCCAATGTTGAATTACGCTATATCTTTTAGTGAAGAGGGCCAAATCGCCTCGCCTCCCAATAGATTAGAAGCACATTCTACAATCAACGAATGAGCAAATTCTCATGGGTAGTGTTTCATCTGGTCACACGTAACGCTATCTAGGACTGCGGGCTTCAGGAATCATAATTAGAAATTCTTATAGCCACTTCTAGGAATCATCAATGTGTAAAATATATATATATATATATATATATATATATATATATATACAGGTAAAGAAATGTCAATGTGTAAACATGAGCCAAAAACAGGACATGAGATTAGCTTCTATAAAGACTTCAAGGTATAGTGTTAAGATCTGAGCCTGCGCTACAAATGTTATTGATCATACTGAACCTCCTTGCTTTTCAGATATCTTAACTGTAATTAGAAACACGTTTGTTTTACAACCGTGAGGTAAAAGGAATTATTTAGCATAATTTTGAGGGTAAATTTCGTTGTAGCGTTGTTTTTTATCAAGCTAGGTCATTAAGACACGTTATTTTGTCTCAGTCAGCACAAGAAACAACTTCCGTGGACGAAGCGCGAATAAGCAGTAGCTTGCTTAGAACTTAACTACTAATTAATTAAAGAAACTATTAATTTCCAGGCTGCGTAACGCTGAATCTACCCAAGAGCGCAATACACTATTGTGAATTAGTGACTTTGTATTACAATAGGCATTACGAATTGTGGTACAAAAATGGCGACGCTAATTTTTGTACCACAATTTACTTAGTGATTATGATGTACCGAACATTGACTAACTATATCCACCCGCCGTATTTATATCTTGTTCTTATCATGTGTAAATCCGCTATGGGTTGTCTTCGAGATACGGTGATTTGTTTGGACATAGGACCACAATAAAGTGTTTTATTAAACATCCGGCAGCCCTAACGTACACTGATAATCAATCAAATATCAAGCCGTTGCAGTTATTCTAATAGCATTAGCAAGCCATTGAGCTCGTGAACCCAATTAAGCCATCCATTTGTGGTAGAGTTGTATCACGTCTCTCTCACTTTGTTTTACAGTAAACGAGCGCCTTTGTTCTCGTTTAATGCAATTAGTTGAGTCACGTGAATGTCCACTTGCTACAATCAGAATGGTCAATAAACTGGATAAATTATCTCATTAGATTACATTATGGAATGCCTCGCTTTGCTATAAACCTGCGGAGCATAGACGGTGGTAAAACACGCATAGTGTTTTTTGGAGTAAACTAATAAGGGGTTATTGAGCGCATTTGCTACTGTACATTGATTTCCATCGACTTCTTCTTTCACGGTTCTTTGGTGAGACACTTCAAGAAGATTAGAAGAAACAGTCCCTTGCTACACCGGATGTTGGTTGGTTCGCGATAGATTGTGCCATGCAACCCTGTTTGGCTTTGTTACGAAATACTACGCTGTCTACTAATGTTACTCACGCAATAGACTACTATAAATCGCTTGCGAATATAAACACCTATCTATGGTGTTCCTACTATCGCGAAAATTGCGAAAAAAAAAAGCTTATTTAAACCGATTTCTAACAAGCGATTATAGGCACAAAAGTTAAAAGCATTCGGATGTTGCATATAAAGGGGTGATCTATCACTTGGCTTGCTTTCTGGACATAGTTTTTGCCACTGGTGTATTTGTTTCACTTCGGTACTGTTGAATAGCCCGTTACATCAAGACTTACGTTTCACAGGCGATACGTTATCAGCTAGAAGAACGCCAACCATTGAAAATCCTTATGAATGCATACATGAGCCAATTTCCCACGGCATCGTACAAAGGGATTCGTTCATGTATGACGAGGTAACAGGCGTTATTTTACGGCTCGTTTCCGTATAACAGACTACTGATTACAAAAATGGCGCGCATTTACCTGAAGATGATTCGAAAACCACATTTCTGCTTTGTCTCCTATAGCTTATTTCTCATACGCATATCGTCCCTTAAATGGCGTGGCAGTAATATGGTCATATGCAAGCTTGGCAGATTAAATTCGAATTCGCAAGTCACAGAAATATCTCCGAGAATGAACCGTTCATATTCCTGGTAAATAAACCAATCGATGCCCAGAGGCAGATGCCAAAATCGACCTTCAGTGCAGCCATGATCTAACTAATTGATTGAGTTAGCTAATTCATCTAGAAAATAAATACACTCCATATATATATAGTTTTGTGGAGAAAAAACTATCTATGTAATACCACTTACCTAGGCCAAGCGAGGATGTCAACCTTTTGCGTAACTATTATTCATACCTAGGTTTTGCACGTAGGCGCACTCATACAGAGACTATGGTTCTAAAAGTGTTATTCGGGGCCGCGTCAGAATCATTTAGACAACCCAGTTGATGGATTTCTATCAATAAAGATAAAGGAGAGAAAAATAAAAATAAAAAAAATACTCGTTAATTGAATACCCAGTCAATGCTTAACGACAAGCAAGAAGTTGCGATAGATTCCGATATTCGGGACGTAGCTGGGTCGACTTTTGAACTGCTGTGAAATGAAACAGGATTTGGCTATATCCTCTTTTCAAATGCAGTGATTTCTAGTCTGGTAGATCTATGACATTAGTGTTGCGCTAGTATTATTAATCATAAAGTACTGCATTATATTTTCAGAATACACTGTGCTCGACCGCACATGGCTGAATTGTCGCATTAACTTTCGTACAGATCCTAATGAAGAAAATAACTTTACCTTCCCAATCTTTGTCCGTTTGATTCGCTTGTAAAAACCATGGCACATCTCAATCTAGAAGCTGTTGATCAATTTCGGAGCTCAATATCCGCACGATGCATAATAGATTCGTCAATTCACATTTCAAATAAAGGCAGACAATGAAACACTAGAGGTGACGCATGAGGTCTCTCCTATTTGAAATTTTGCAGACGGAGAAGCGCGTCTAGCAAATGCAATTGCTCGAAATCCATACGAGGCGAAAAGCCTTCATCAAGCTCAGTATGCCCTGTCTCTCACTCAGCGAATAAACGGACCGTTTCGTTATGCTTTTCGTTAAGTTTTGCAATAATCTGCATGACCCGTCTACAAGACACATGACCTACTTCACAGCATGCGTAGAAGCGAGCCCTCGAGCGGAGGTGCTTAGAATACCAAACACCACAACCACTTACATTCTCGTCTTGGTATCGACCCTATCGCACAACCGAAAGCTCCCAAATACAACTCTATCCTCAAAAGCATTGTTTGATTTCGATAGCAACTTATCTATTGGTCTGGTTAATCTGTTGCGGCTCGCAACAATTCTGAAGCATTATGGAACATTCCTTCTGAAAACAAACGCATCGTGAATTGGAAAATGGCTTCTGGCGCATAAGGCGCAACGACTACAGTGCGTACCTTCCATAATATCAATTACAAACAGAACAAGGACATAATTTCGCCTTTCCCTGATAGCGACTTTTGCAAGGCTAAACGCCGGGCCTGCTCCATGCATCACTCAAATGGGGAACAGCGGGACGCTTAGGAAGGGCTCTACGCCCGCGACTTCTATCAGATATGAGTCCGCGTACAAGGTGTTCAATTCCGAAGTCTTCGCAGTTATTGTATAGGCTTCCCCCGTCAATAGCAAGCTAAGCATTTAGAATGGTGCACCCAATAAGTTTTTTTTTTGCAATTTGCAGACCTTTGCGGACTCAGTTTGCGCTGCTGATCAGCCACACCCCCTTGCCATAGATATATTCATACATATTTTCCAAAGAGATTGTTTCTAGAGTCTCAGCGATCTGCATCTCTTAAACAGTAATCGTACTAAATTGTTTCTTCCTTAGGTCCAACTTGCCTAAAGCGTATTTTAAAACGCCATCAGTTTAAAAGTTACAATGGTTTCGAGGCAACCCATAGCCTGCTTGCACCGTGATCTCATTCGAATTTTTTCAAGCCGCCTCTAGTTGGGCATACTTTAAATTTACTAACTGATTCGAGTCTGAAGTAGCTTTCCTGTCGCTGGATGCTTAAGTAAATTCATTACGTCCCGGCTCCACAACAGCCCGTGTCTCCTAAGGCGTGTGAAAATAGAACAGAATAGTTCTAATAGAACTGCGTGAAATCTCTCGCTCTCTTTTCATTATGTTTTTGATAAAGGACCGTTTTGAACAAATTTTGGATCAACATCAGAGCCATATAACAAGTAACCGTGAAGTTCTAAAAAATTGCTGCCCATTATTACATTACTAGTCGGAAACAATCTCGTTTTCTGTTCTTAGTGGAACTAGTATCTATCTTAATGAAGCTGGTTAACTTGTTTTTATCCCTTTGGTTTTCATACAAAATAAAATCGAGTTTGAACCGTACCAGAGACAAAGTATACCGTCTTTATTTTTGGTGAAAATGGATCGCAGTACAAACTTTTATACTGTATGTTGTAAGCTGGGTTAGGTTGAATATGGCTAATGGTCACGAATGTGAACATTTTGCAAGTACAGGCAGCAGGTCAGTACCAGGACATTACGTATCTACCTAAAGGTAGTACTTCCTGCGTTTAAGCGATGCAAATTGTCGTCTTCTACTAATGTCGAAAAACAGCTAAATTAGCGGAAGCCTAACAGCTAAATCTTCTTCGTTCTCATTACTCTTATTATGATTATTACTACTATCATAATTCTAGCCGCTGTTTCGAGTTTTACGTTTGAAATCGCCGTTAGGTATCATCTCAGGCAGCTGGCTCTCAGTACGAAACGAAGCGTGTATCTGAACCCGGCTTCGAACCTAGACCACAACGTGTCCCTAATACTACGAAACAAATACGTTACCCACTAAGATATCAGGAGGACGTAAAATTTCAGCCTACAACACAGCAATGCGAGTAGAAGATTTGCGAGGCCTTTGTCATCTAAAGGACTAAAAATTAAGGACTAACGCATTATGTAGCTTAGTCTTCACTGTTAAATATTTCCCTGGTATTGTGGGACGTTCATCTACTAAACCCTAAGTACCATGTGCTTAGGTCTGGGTTCATGTAGACATCATGTATGGATTGGGCACCATGACATGTATAGAGATGCTGCAAATTACAAAATCGAAGGTATCGCCGATATCAGTCACATATCGTCAGTAACTGCACATTTTTGATTTTCAGTAATCCTAATTTAATCTCGGATGTATGAAGAATATAATCCAACAACAACTTTCTTCATACCTCTCCAAATTTAATAACGCTCTGCAGAGCTGCACTGTACGCTACCTAAAACTATGTTTGCTTAAATATGAAACAAGCTTAATAGCTGAATCATTAAATCAAATAAGTATCATTCCATGGATTGTTTAAAGTCCAATCCATTTCTAATAGGATGATGGATAATAAAAAGATTGCAAAAGTACTTTTCTTCCATGAGGAAAACGGATCCGCACGTAAGTGCTACGTTAATGAGTGGTAAGTAAAAAATTTTAATGGGTCACACTTTTAATTCAAGGCTCGTATGTATATATAGTATATATAGTCGTTTCCTTTATTTAGTGTGATGGACCTTTCAGCTGCTAGTTCCTGTGTACGCATCGATTATTTCATCTGCGTGCAATTATACCGGTGTTCACTGTCAGGACTATGCCGTTTACCGTTACCTTAAGGTACGTATCATATGGTTCTCAAAAATGAATCAGCAGCAACATTAGTACACTTTTATGACAATTGGTTGAATATTATATAGATAGATACAGGATACAAAAAAGCATTAATCTTTTAACTAGCCATTTTCCACGACGGTGTTTGCTCTTTGCCTATCCAACGAGATCTTGACACATGTTCATAGTTTACTATGCATGACGTGAGGCGTGCATATATTTTGCGTAGCCATACGGTTCGACAATTGTGCACAGAAATTAAGTTGCAACAATAAGCTAAACAGAGCTTGTTCTGGATAATAATTTTTCACAAGTTCAAGTTGATATAGAAAAGCGTTTCTTGTTTAGGCCGGTGGGACGGCTTCGACACTGTGCGTAAAGGATTCTGTGACTGAAAGCAACGGGAAGATCTCTGATAGGCACACACTGACAGACGGAAAGGGGACACGTAAAGAAGGAAGCAACAATACAGGCCGAGGCTATTCAAAGCCAGCCAACTTTTCCACTACTACTGTAGCAGTTTCTACGGTGGCAAGCAATAGCCATATGGCCTGCATGAGAAAATGTGCAGGGACAAAGTAAATATTGCTTTCGCTGTCCACCAACAAGTTACAATCAGATAATACGAACACTAACTTTTCTACCTGTTATTTAAATAACGATTTCTCAGGTCAATGGAGCACTGCATCGATCCATTAATTGTGCTTCTCTATCCTTTCTATGATTTCAAATATTATAAAAGTAAAAGTAAACGACAGCTTTCCACTTGTTACGAACCTGGCTATGATGAGTAGAGCGTAAACAATTTCCATCACACTTTTGAGCACATGAGAATATATACCATATATGTATTCCCAATTGACCTATTAGGTTATTCTGGTTAAAACAGAAACTTTATCGTGCAAAAATAACTTTAATAGAAACATTTCCGTACCACATATTGCTTGGTCATATATGGAATAAACATTTAAATGTCAGCTGTTGCGTAGCTGCACGAGGAGCATATGAACAGAACAGGGCTCTGTTGAAAAGAGCGGTGAAAAGGCGAAAATAAGAGTTACCGTATGAGCAGAAAGACCATCAAGCGCCCGTCTGAATACCCGCCGAAAAGGATTCTTTACTTACAGGTGAACAACTTACTATGACTCGCTTCTGATCAGCTTTGAAGAAATAGAAGCACTTAAATATACAGGAACAAACTTGAAAAATTGTCAGCTATTAATAGTGGAACAAGTTGGAATTACTTGTGAGTGGTAAAGCATCCACTGAAGCTGGCACATAAAACAAAAACAATCGTTTCGAAAGCAAACTCACCGCAAGCAAACTTTAACTTCCTCACAGAGACTCGATCCTTTGAAAACGGCAGATCGGTCCGGAGAACTCCAGACAGGTATAACTTTTTTTGTTCAAAGCTAGCTCAAACCTAAGCGCCTATTTTTTTTTCCATTTTTTGTCTTGCCTATTTCTATTCCACCGGCTTGAAAGTAGTCCTGGCAGCACCGGCACTGGCACGTGGAACGCGGCGGCCGCGAGAGCGGAAATTAGCAGACAGTGTAAAGTTCGAAGTTTTCGGTCGAGCAACTGTCAGACAAAACACTGAACCGATCCGTTTATTCTGAAAGTAGGTTTTGTACTGCTAAGGCTGTTCCCTACACAAGTAGCTGACGACGAGACAATTAAGTCTGATTCGAAGCCGGCAGATTCTTTACATAGGACTGTATGTGAAACATACGCTTCGACCGACGGCAGAATCTTTGCTCCTCCCTCTATTTGTTCCACATTGCTAAGGGTGGCACCCTACGGCCGCGGCTGCTATGGCGGTCTGTCTGCGGTCCAGCGATCTGTTTAACACTGGCGGCATTGCCGATGACCGCAACGGCAGCTGGCCCGTTCAGTTCCGCTCGACAGCAGGACGTTCGAGAGGAGGCCTCCATTGCGCGCCGAGGGTGGCGCTGTAATCGAACCTGAGTCAATAAAGTGTCTGTTCGGGATCGCTACTGTTAGTATTGCTGCTTGCATCAGCTGTCGCACCTTATCGCCATCTGTAGGCGGCGGGAATAAGGACCATGCAAGAATGTCGATCGACTAATTATTATGGCTGCCGCACGTCTCTTCTGATGGACACACCGAATTACTAGGTTGTATTCGGGCATTTGGACGAACAAGTTGCGTAGGTACGATCGGTCCGGTTGCTTTGGCGGTCGACAGGGGTAAAGAAGAAAGGCTTATATACTCGTTTACTTGGCGTGCGAATAAAAATAAGATTTCTAATAGTGAAAAAATAACTGTCAATAATACTGTATCGTATGTAGAATGGTAGCACGGAATACGATGGAGGAATATCCGAAATAACCTTGTACGACTGCTCGCATCGTTGTACCCGGCAATGCACAGTCCCCCATTATACGAGTTGTCAAGCCTTCAGAACAATAAAAAACGAGAGATCAAGCAGTCTGATTTGCTTGAATGGCACTCGTTTGGGAGCTCCACTGCATGATTTCTATTACTGAGTATTGGCCTCGGGCGCTACTTGACTGAAATCAGATATAAAGGAAATATTACAGAAATCAATCAGTTATTTAGAAATAGGCAAAACAAAGACTAGAAGAAGTTTAGAAAAAAAAACAGGCAAAATACCATCAGATCCTGCTGAGCGACAATTTATGATCATTGGTCGTTAGGTGAAAAGGAAACGCGTACTTACTTGAGCTATCACAGATGGCTTCTTCGCGCCGAGAATCACGTCTAAGAGATGAAAGGTGGCGCTCGACGACACCGCCGTCGTAATACGAACACGAAAACTTTCGCCTAATACTGCAGGTCCACCAACTGAGTTTAACAATGTTTCTAGCGAAAACCAGAATGGTACCACTAAATATGACGAATAAGTAGCGAATGCGTTCTCTAGCGTATCATCTTAATTGAAATCGCAATCTTACTACTTGCAGATTTTTTGCCTGCCAAGCCTGTGTAAGCACTAAGTTCATGTCAATTTGTTATACACGGCTGAAGCAATCCAAAGGTGGTTCAAAGGACTGTAGTGGATCTTCTAAGCGACTGTTCTTCAAAAAGAACAAAACATGCAGGTATAACTCTCTCTCAGCACAGTTGAATGGTTACATTGCTTGCAGTGCACCGTCGTCAGATCGAAGCGAAATATTCTGATTATGGCCGGCCAGATCAGAGGAAAACCAGGCGGGCAACAGCGGCCGGCATTTTGATCGTCTTTTCTTACACCCACGAAGCGTAGTGTTTTTAAGTGTCACGTAATGCTGACTATGAAGCACGACATTCTCCTCTCCCTTATGACAGTTTCATGACTGCTAATACTACAACATACACAATGTCCAACGTAAGCCCACGGCACAATACAACTCTTCAGCACTTCTGGACAGCAGGAATAATATGATGGTGCTGCGCAGATTAGGCCGACAGATAACGGAGTGGTAACTGTCGTACGGTTAATGCGCTGCGGTAACTGCAGTCCATTTCAACGGGCTAAAACATGGTAATTCGCCCACACTTTGCTTATTATATACACAAATGCACTTGTATAATCCGACGCATGGATCACGATATATAATAACAATAGTTATTGTTCTGTTTTCCAAAGTTGATTCTCGGTTTACTGAGGGAGGGTAATGTTTCGTGTCAAAATAATCCAGCTAGAGAAATATTCTAGCATCTAATAACATACAAAATAACACCACTCATTCGTTATTTGATGTGTGGGCAAAATTCGGTTATCAGTTTAACGACCCTTTCGGTAATTGAACCTTCTATACTGCTTCTTGTATTGAAGGCCAAACCTTTTTCCCCCAAGTACTGATGAAAACAACATAGATGGTTTTATTAATTAGAATAAAGATTTGGTATAATCCGAATTAAAGCTAGTTAGTCGATACCGATCCACCCTAATTCTTGACCAGCGAGCAAGCAAAAAGCTGAAATACGGCTGATAGTCAGAAAAGGCTTAGCATATGCCCCAGTTTAGCAAAGCTACAGATGTATTTTTCAATTCTATTTTGCATTGATTTAACGTAGATATATTATTTGTGCAAGTCAAAGCTTCGAATTGATTAACAAAAATACAGATAATATGGGGTACACGGAGGAATAAGCGTTTAAGATATTTTTTAAGTTCAAGTTGTAAAATGCCTTTAAAAACCTTTTGAGAAAATGATTTCACTGCGTCCATTTACTCCGCCAAATCATAGGACCATTATCAAATTTACCTTGGAGATAATGCAATGTTAACGTGGTCGCTTGCAGTGCTAACGAATTTAGCCCTATACAGCTAGTAGATACTTCCCTTGTGTAGTCTGAACTGAATATGTCAAAACGACATTTCAAAAGATTCTCGTTTAACTGGAAATCCGATCTATTAACTCCCCTGCCACGCAAAGAAAATGGTCGACCTATAAATGGCTAAGTGATGTGATAAGCTCTTCAAAAAGTAGCTATCTTACTAAAACACGATACTGCATATCCTTAAGTTCACCTGGGAGTTGCCAGCTCTAAAAACTTACAGTTCGGCACAATAGGGTGCAACTGTTAAGAAAGTATTCTTTTTTGTGCGTTTCATAATTGGAAGATTAACAACATTTTAACAATAAATAATAAAAATAGTAAAGTTCTGCAGTATGCACTTGTTCGGATACTCTGTTTCAAAACACTACCAGATATATCGTAATGTCTATTTGGAGGAATTCTTACATGCAAATGTCCACCGACAACTCAGCTAATTTTACTATTTTTCGTGACAACAAAGTTACTGTTTGCGACCGTTTCAATGAGAATTCTCTATATGGCCTGTGGTGAAAATCATCTTTTCGGGATTAGGATTAGCGGTCTGTCATTTTCTGCGGTACTTGTACATGTAAATCGTGTCATATCGGAGGCCCTTAGCGATTCGGTCAGGCAAGTTCTGCTAAAATAAAGTTGTGCGCGTTGTTTTGAGCGAAAGTAGCACTTAAAAAAATAGTAACATTTGTTCCACAACTTCCGTTAAGATTAAAATGCAAAAAAAGTAAGGATTTCTCTCGACAGTAAATGTAACCGTTTTGTAATATAATGTAGTAGTATTGTTTGGATTTAGATCAAATACAAACTTAATCTGAAGCAAAATCTATTTGTTTTTTTAACTATTTAAAAAAAAATAATTTTAATCTGCTTATTTAACATGCTTTGACCCTTCTCAAAATATATATACTTTGAGAAGAATCAAAGCATATTAACTACGTACGTCAGCAGCTTTTAAACAACGTTGAAGTCACAGGCAACTGAAAGATATTAGTCGTACTTAGTTGTTGGTAGTTAAAATCAGTTTTAAGTTACAGAGAGTTGCATAAAGTGCAGTCATTTCACTTACGTTCAACAGGTTAGGGACACCTCGTCCAAGCAAAACTGAGTAAACCGTTATGGTCTCGAATAAAAAGAAAGCAATGTATAGTGACTTGACCTTTTTTAGCGTCGTACGAGCAGCAGCGACTAACATTGACTACAAACGCAATCCTTCGCAAAGGCCGTGTCGGGCATTATGAAGAATATTCAAGAGTGACATTCTACGCGCGCATTATGGTTTTAAGCATTTTTCATACTAATTTAAGTACAAGTAATGTAAGTGACAAAGGAGTCTTAAACGAGCACCCTAGTTCGCGATAAGCAAGTGAATTACTAATATAGTATGTAAAATATGTGGATAAATTAATAATTTAGAGATAAGTCACTTCTTAAATACAAACGCTCTGCATTTAACACA